GAGCCTGAACAGCCTAAAAGGGGTATCTTCTCGTGATGTTGCGAAAAGGTATCGAACGTCCGAATATCTGCGACGGTAGCTCCACCTTGACCTTCTACCTAGCTTCGCCTGGTCCTGGAGCGCGGGCATTCCTGTCCCGGTTACCTGGGCTGGCAGACTGCTRGGGGGGGCAGGATCAGTGTCTTCGTCTGGGCTTGTCCCGTCCCCGAAGGTCGGGGATACCAGGGAATCAAGGAAGTCCTCCGGTCTGGCACACAGAAGATTAAATATGTTCTCAGGTCCAATGACRCACTGTCCGCAGTACCGGCTTGTGCTGTCAAACGTCGTCGCATCGTACGTCAACTGCGCGAGCTCACCATACTTTATGAGCATTCCCTTGAGCGGGCCATAGCGTACGTCGCTAGTTTTTGGATCAGTCCAGTCGTCATCGAGGTCAAGCATGCCTGGTGTGCTCCAGTCATCGAAACCCCTGAGCTGCTGCCATGTGTACGATTGCTTAGGCCCTGGCCTCTCAAGGACTCTGTAGGGATCATCTTCGTCTCCGGGACCCCTTCCTCCTGCATCTGGGATCGGCGTCGTTTGGCTGTTGTTCGGTTGCCCCTCGATTGTTGACGCCACAATGCTTCGGAAAGCCCTCCTCCTCAGACCAGTCTGGTCGTCGACAGGATAAACGACTGCATTAGTGGCCATCCCAACTGCATCCCCATTGCTGGTAGTCGTCGACTTCTCGTCTACTGCAGCCGCTGTGTCGCCGTTGCCGGCGGTTATCTCATCTGCAGCAACTGCGCCCTGAGAAGCCCGAACCTGACCAGGTGCATTGCCGGCGGTTAACTCTTTGTCAGCGGCATCTGTGTCATGAGAAGCCTGAACATGACCAGGTGCATTGCCTGTGGTTAGTAGCTCGTCGTCCTTCGCCTGAGCTATGGAGTCCTGAGCTGGAGATGGGCTCGCCATGATGTTGCCTGTGAGAACTACTAAGTTAAACTGCTTTTTTCTGATGCGGTCGCAACCGTGGGGAGCTGTGTTTCACGCTTAGACTTGTACACTCTTCCGGCATCCAAGCTATGGAGTCGCAATGTTCAGGTACCTGAGCTGTAGAACTGCTTTCGACTGACGGCACGGGGAACTCGGATGCTGCCACTCCAATTCCGTCAGTCTGCTATTCACATGATAGATACCATCTGCTTGCCAGAGGGTGCAGGCAGAGGTTTACTAGATCGTCCACGTGCTCTTCGCTAGTATAGTCCCCAGGGTCCAATTTCCTCTTCCTGCATGCTGACCACAAGCAAGGACAGGGTCAATGAAGAAGAGCAGACTGGTATCTGTTCAACATGCATGTCCAGGTTAATCATGCCAAAAATGGTATTGTTTTCAACAATGCATCGTCAACAAGGACAAACACAAAGGAAGTTATGGAAAAAAAAGAAAAAGAAGATAAAGAAAGACAGAAGCTGCACAAAAAAAAAAAAAAAAAAAAAAAAAAAAAAAAAAAAAAA